ATATTTCACATTACCAAGGCTTTGCTATCTCGATGCTGTACAGGGCTCCCCGCTTCGGTAAATGTCTCCCCGATTCCCCGGACTTATCAATTGGTCCTTGTTCAATGTTGCATGAGACACGCTACGGTGAGCTTCCGTCATCATCAATCCATTCCGAGTCTTCCATTCCGGCCGCTAGAATCAAGGATCGGTGTGATTACCGAAGCACGTGGAGAAAGATCAACAGTGACCTCGGCGCAAGGTAGGATATATACCGTGCCTCTTGAATACTGCATCCCCCAAATCCCAGAGAATGTGACAACTCATTGTCATTCAGTCCCTGTTTTATATTTATTCTCCATAAAAAATATCGAAATGGGCGCTGCTTGTCCTCCGGCGACACAACCACGGCCGCTGAAACCTGTTCCTTGCGCTTCTTCGCTACACCCGGCATTTTTCACAGACAGGTTCCGAAGAGCGCCGACTTCTTTGACTACGGGATCGGTTGCTAGTCCTGTGACGCTGGGATATGTCTATCAGGAAAGTGAAAGGAGAAAACCGAAGCTATGAGATCATAAACGGAGGATCGGAGACAAACCCGGCGATTTATCTACACATTCGGGTGATGACCCAGCGACAAAGGATGAGACGCCAAGTGTTTGGAGCGGCGGATTACGACACCTTTACACGATTACGACAACATTGAAAGACGGATCGATATTGGGGTATCAGTTTGATTGAAAAGAGGACTTTGTTGCATAATTATACCCTTTTGCCCGGGTTGTCCATCCCATCTGTTCGCCTAGGAAATACACATTTTCAACAAGAAGGAAATAATTAAAAGGAATGGCTCCTCGCCCACAAACCCTACCTTAACCAGACCCATTCTTGACAGCGATCACAATAGCCATGATGATGAGGAATACTACAAGTGCCAAGAGTGCCATGAGCTTGACGTTCTTCCACCACATCTTGCGCTTGAGGCCACGACTGCGCACGCGGAACTCACGTGCGCTACCGCCGAGACGGTCCGTCTTGTCAACCAGTAAGTCCAGCCTCTCACCGCGCTCAAGAAGACTCTCAATGTTCTTGGTCATAATCCCCCTAACGTCGTCGATCTCGCGCTTGGCATTCCCGATGGCATCGTCGCGACCTCCGCTTGTAGTACCGTATTCAATCATAAGAGACTTGAGTTCCGAGTTGAACGATGCTGCGCCGTAGTTGGGCATGCCGGAGAAGTCAGTGCTCTCGGGAAATTGCTGCAGGAAGCGCTTGCGGATTTCAAAGAGATAACCGAATGGTACGCGACGGCCGAGGGACGAGTCGGCGATGACGAGGAATGTGAGACCGCCTGCGGAAGGGTAATCGCGATGTTCAGATGGAGATTCGGAGACATAGTGGATTTGGTGCTGGCCGTGGGTGTAGGTGAGCTTTTGAGGGTTTGTATGTTCGATCTTGGGGAGGATGAGAGAGGCGAGGGATGAGGTTTGGGAGGAGGCCGATGTTGTGCATTCTGAGAGAATCGTGGTATTGTGCGCGATACAGGAGCTGTAGATTGTTAGCTGCGTTTGTCAATATTGATGATGGTTGACTGACTAGAGTAGGGGAGTCGCAGGAGTCGATGACGATGCCATGACGGGCGAGTCTGCGTGCGAGTGCTGATAAAGTGATTGAGTGGTGTTGAAGATGAAGGCGATTCAAGATGAAGCCACGAGACGAGGTTGCAGAAAGATATGAGGCAAGGTAACCAAGATAGATAATCCAAGCCAAGTCAAGTCAGAGTCAAGTAACAAGTCTACAATGACGACTCTGGTCGCGGCCGTCTCATCGTCATTCCCCACTCTCATGCGAACCACGGAGGCCGGCGGAACGAATCTCCGTCTCATGGAATTTTTTGAGACGGGTTTTCAAATGATGGCAAGACTTGGTCGCATTCGCCATCGTGCAAAGACACGGTCATTTCACGATTATATTTTTCGTTTTCAAGGGGAGCATGTTTGGCTCACTCTTTGTGTTTTGATTATGAGTTTTTTACTCCGGGCTAGAGCTTTACGAACTCCTATTGTGCCGGTGACGAGAAGGACGATATCAACTTCACCAAGACTCTCAAGAGCGCCGGGTGCAGTTAAGAGGAAACATGGCCCGAACAAGGTTGAGGCCAGAAAGGCTGGGGTGAAGAAATCTGAATTTCCTCTGAAGCCAGTATGTTCTTGTTTTGTTATTTTCAGGGACGATACTTACTAATCTTAGGTGACCAAAACTGATGAGAAAAAAGATATGAAGAGAATGAGATTCGGCATGGACAAAAAGTCAAGTGGACGACATGGGATGTTCCGATCAACTGTTTTGATGAAATTTCAAGATGTCATGAAAAACGCTAGCAAATCAGCCGTGTCTGCTGCGGGTGTAGGAGAGGATGAGCTTCATCAACAGGCTTCCATGTTTATGACGGTGCTAGATTCGGCATTCGACATGGCCGAGCAGAACATCACCGACCGAGTCAAGAACCCCCTGTTCTGGAATCTCCGCGACGCTTTCATCTTGAAGGATATCAAGGGTCTCACAAACGAGATCCAGTACTCCTTCCAATCATTTCTCATTCGACAGCGCTTCTCGAAGGGCTTGGAGGAGAGCCACAAGCGCCTTTTGGACTTTCGGTTTCCTTATGAGTGGTTCCCCGCGACGAGAGCCATGCAGCGCACGATCCATGTTCATGTTGGACCGACAAATTCCGGAAAGACGTACAGAGCTCTGAAAGCGTTGGAGAATTCGAAGCGAGGAGTTTATGCGGGGCCGTTGCGTTTGCTAGCAAACGAGGTTTATCAGAGACTCAAGGCTAAGGGATTGCCGTGCGCGCTGTTGACGGGAGAGGAAGTTCGTTTGCCGGAAGATACGGATACGTTCTTCACGAGTTGTACGGTCGAGATGGTCCCCTTCAATGAGCGATATGATGTTGCTGTCATTGATGAGATTCAGATGCTGGCTGATCCGGATCGTGGCAGCGCTTGGACATCGGCGCTGTTGGGTGTTCAAGCGAAGGAGGTTCATCTTTGTGGTGAGGAGCGAACTGTGAGTCTGATTCAGAGCATATGCGCAGGTATCGGCGATAAGTGCATTGTGCATCGATATGACCGTCTAAGTCCTCTGGAAACCATGGACGATGCCCTAGACGGTGATTTCAGTCGTCTCGAAAAGGGAGATGCGGTTGTCGCATTCAGTCGTCTGAACTTGCACGCATTGAAACGAACAATCGAGAAGAAGACTGGACGACGATGTGCGATTATTTACGGATCTTTACCACCTGAAGTGCGTGTTCAGCAGGCAGCCCTCTTCAATGACCCCGACAACGATTACGACTTTATTGTTGCCAGTGACGCTATCGGCATGGGTCTGAACCTGGAGATTCGACGAGTTATTCTTGAAGCAGTCGCCAAATTTGACGGAAGCCATAACAGGATGCTCACGTACCCTGAGCTGAAGCAGATTGGTGGTCGAGCCGGACGATATCGAACTGTTCGCAACGCCGCCGAAGCTGGGAAAAATGCCGACGTCGCTGTTGAGGAGGAGAAAAAGGTTGGCTACGTCACAACAATGGATAGCCAAGATCTCCGGTCTGTTCATCGGGCTTTTGACGCCAAAGTCGATGATATCGATGCCGCGTACATTTCACCACCAGCTGCTGCTATCGAGCGCTTCTCAACATATTTTCCCAAGGGGACACCTCTATCGTTCATCCTCATGCGCATTCGAGAGCTAGCGTCTGTGAGCAAGCAGTACAGAATCCACATCTCTTCAGATAAGCTAGAGATTGCCGACCATATCCAGGACATCCCTCTGACGATCTATGATCGACTTTTGTTCACCAACTTGCCTGTGAATACACGAGCTCAGAACGCAATATCCGTTCTTCGAGCCCTCGCCAGGATTGTCGCTAACAGCGAAGACGGCACACTTCTTAGGATTAAAGAAATTCCTCTGGAGAACCTCGATATCGACTTCAAGACGTTCAAAGGCACGTCGATGGATTATCTCCACAGGCTTGAGTCACTACACGCTGCTATCAACCAGTATATCTGGCTATCCTACCGTTTCAGCGGCATGTTCCGCGATCAGAAGCTAGCGTTCCACGTCCGATCCCTCGTTGAGGAAAAGTTGATCGATACATTGGAGAGACTCGATTTCACAGAAACTGACCTCAAGGGCTTCCGATCGAGGAACAGAAAGGAAGCGCGCAAGACAACAACATCGCGTGAGGAACTGGGAGAAGCAGATCTTAAGGATCTGGAGCAGGAGTCGGATGAGACACCTATTGGAGATGAGCTGGACTGGAAGGCAGCTGCTCCGACGTCAGGATGATTGTATAGTACATGACATGACATATGAACGGCGTTGAACTGGGACTGTATAGAGACGGATTGGATGTGTAACTTTATTATTAGAGCAATGTATCACCACATTTGTACAATAGACGAAGCGCCATGGAATATCATGGTTATTTTCCGCACGTGCCTTTGTTTCAGACGAGTGTTTGCCCCATGTTTGTCTGATGCTCTGAGACATGCAGTGCGTGTATGCACCTTGAGTGTTTGCAGTTGGTCGCCATTCGCCAATCCTGAAATGGTACCCTATAATTTCAGGCAGCAGCCTATGAATGGTCTTTGTCTTTTACTCGTGCAGTAATAGACTTTTTTTGTCTGTCCAACGAGTCAGATTATCCCCTTTAATTGTTGGTTGTTGAAGTTTGTCCAAGTTGTAGCCAATCGAACCTCTCTCCTGGATCTAGAATTTCAGGGACCGTAGGGCTCTCGGACTGCCCCACTTGTCGTCATTCAAGGGCACTGACCCCTGTCGCAGCCTATTTAGAGTGGGCATCTCAGCTGTGCGAGTCTCTCCACTTTCTTTCACGCTGACAACTCTAGCTTCAAGCTTGAACTTGAACTCTTCATTGCTCTGAGACAATATCTCTCGTACAGCAAAACAGCTCTGCATTTATTGTCGGACCGTGTCGTAAGATAATTGCGATGGAGTCGCTGAACGGTCTTCACCCCTCCTACGCCAACAACGCCGTGCCATCTGCACCGTACGTCCGTCGAGCACCAAGCCCGCCATTCATTCACATCCCACCGACAGGACAATGTGGTGTCTCCGCTGCGCCCATCCTCCTCCCATCGTACGAACACGTCGATTCGAGTCAGTTGACGGCACACGATGTCAAGATCATCACACAAAACATGCAGCAGATCGCGACAGATCGCGCCGCAGATTGGTCCTACGAGCAGCGACGTGACGCCCAGAAGCTAGTGGACTTTTTGTACCTTGGTCCCAACAGCACCGCCAAAGATATCAAGCGGTTGCAGGAGGAGGGCATCACTATGATTGCTGTAACGAGGGATGCGCGCATGGCGGGGGTCAAGCTCATGGGTGTTGAGAAGGCTGCGAAAACACTCGACATTGAGGTCCGATACATCGATCTGGAAGGCAACGATAAGCTGATCAGTTCATTTCCCGACATTATCCGGCTGATCAATGACCATCTTCTATCCGTGTATCACAACCAAGCCAAGGGTCGAAACAAGAACGGCGAACTCCTCGTTGATCCAAGCTCATTCCGCCGCGGCAAAGTCCTGCTCACGTGCGAGACGGGCAACGACAGATCAGCCGCCATCGCCGCAGCCTACATCATGGCAGTCTTTGGAAAGGACATGATCACCGCGGTTCAGTTCATCAGCATACAGCGGTTTTGCTGCGCTTTCGACGAGGACACCAAGCGGAAGCTGCAGTGCTGGGAGGATATTCTACGGGCGCGCTCACAAGTCGCTATGGAGCAGGCTGTACCCCCCAACACTGCACATACGAAGCGACATATTGACGATATGATGGATACGAGTGAGGATTCAAACGACAAGGGGGAGTTTATGTTGGATCAGGATCGGTTCAATGGTAGAGGATCGTTTGCGCCGTTTGTGGATATGTAGAGAGTACAGGTTGATCGACTCGAGGTAGAGTAGACGCATGGCGTTTTGGTCTGGTTTAGATACCCTGTATATTTATTGGCGACGTCCGATTTTTATATCTGATGAGTCTACGGCAATGGGATTATTTATTTTGTATTTTGTTTTTCGATCATCCCAAGATGTGGGAGGGTCTTCCTTCAGTGTGTTGCTTATAGAGCTAGAACTAATCTCATAATATTACCTGACAAGTGTGCCTTGTTCCGCTCCGTATTAGTTGCTGAAGTATGAAACGTATACTTGAGCCTGGCGTTATGACCACAGTCTTTACAACATCATTTGTGAGAAGGGAATGAACGTAGAGTGCTTGAGCCGTTAAGCTTAGTGAAGTCATTATCATGAGTGAATTGCGCATGCCCAGAAATCTCTTTCAATGCTTGAAAGCCGACATCGTCCATGACTTGGCTTTCATAAACCCAAGACTCTTTGTTATAATAAACAAAGAAGCTATTGGTTCATTTAGAGAAGATGAAAGATAGCGTTATCTTGAGTCGGTTACCGATATATTATGAGCTCATGATTCACAGTGTTGAATCTGTGACTGACAGCTGTAGACACCTGGCATTGAGTGACAGACAATTCGACCTTGATGAGACAACTAGTTCTTGAATCATTGCGTTCATAAACAAACACATGTAAATGATGGATTGTCACATGATTGTTTATTGTCTGTATCGGTTGTCTTTTTGGTCCCTGACTTTTTACCATCTTCGCGTCCCTCGTTCACACACTTCAACTCAACTCTTTCTCATCCTCTTCTCACTCTTCTTGATATACACTTTGCTTTCATCGCTTAAACCAAGAGCTACAGAAATGATACTTGGATCTCAGACTTTTTTATCTTCACTTTATTACTGACTTGCTTTCAACCTAGCAATCTCACGACGCGTCCTCAATACTCAACCTCGACACAACTATCATGGAGCATCTCAACAACACCACACCTCAGCCCCAGGAAAGACATTAGGATGATCTCTCTTGGGGCGTGAAGTGGATTATCCTCCGTGTCTTCAGTAACAACAACCGCTTCGCAAAGGTCACCAGTCTCATCTTGCATCTCAGCAACCAACAGGTCAAGGACTTTATGGAGATTTACCTCCGCGAATATTACAGTTGGCGGGTCTGGCAAGAGTGTATTGAGAAGATTCCCAACGCTCAGCTGCTTGAACATGCTCTTGAGAAGAGACAGACTGTCGCAGAGCTTCTACGTGAACATCGTCCTCCTCTCTACACTGACAATATTCCAGACCAAGACAAACAAAAAGGCGTCGAGTTCCTGCAGGGACTGAAGATCTCTGGTGTAGTTGAGGAGTTTTTGGCGTATACAGAGAATGGGCCGCTTGACTTTCTTCGACTGGATATCGAGTGGGAGTTCCTCCAGGATGCTATTGACAAACAACAGATGCTGGGTTCATTAGAGCTTGGCTGGCTTGACCCTGAGAAAGTCGACCTACTCATGGCTCAGATTTCCGCTCCTGAACCATCTACTGGCCCATTCCGGTATCCTGAGCTGGGAGATCCCTTCCTGGGCACTATTAAGAGAAGACTTACACCTCCACCGGCTGATGCCTCAGATGAAGACGTAGTGATGAAAGATGACGGCTACGATTCAGATGCGACACATGATGCAACTGAAGACAATGATGAAGACGGTGAGCCACGCGACAAAGGAAAACAGCCCGCAGGTCCTGAGCAAGAAGCCGAGCAAGCTGCCAACGATGCTCGTCTCGCCCCCCTGACGTCCCTCATCCCAGGACCGAAGGGTGAGGTGCCTCTTCCGTATCAGCGAAACATCTTACAAATGGTCTCTCAGAGATATTACCACCAAGCCTACACTCATTTGAAAGGACAAGCAGTGTCGACTCTCGTAGAGGAAGAGAGAGAACCGCACCCGCCAGCCTCGGCGTATTGTCCTACAGGGTTTCACTACCTAGCAAAACAAAAGCAGATCTGTGGGCTTGTTGGGCCTGAAGAGGGAAGGAGATCGATGCAACGAAGTGGTGTTGGGCATGGGGAGGGATCTGCGACACAGGAGGCGAGAGGGAGTGCTTCACTGGCTGCTGGAAGGGTGCCTGGTGCGCCTCGACTCTCTCGACGGGGTTTGGAGAGTCGGACAGTTTTGACATCTCATTTTGAGGATGCGTTTCTGACTGACCCAAGATACGACTACGTCATGAACCAGCGCCAGAAGCCAGTGTATTTGGAAGAGGTCCCAGATGATGATATGGAACAAGAACAGTATCCGTCCTTTACTTCCGCCCCTGACGAAGGACCTTTGGCATTCATTCAAGCAAGTGGTTCGACACTCCAACCCAATCAACACTCTGCCCCCACCATTTTAGGCCACACAGCTCCTATCAACAAATCCACGCCATCTGAGCAACTTCGCCAGATGCTCGACGCCAACTGGTCCGGCTTTCTCAAAAAGAAGGGAAGCAAATCAACAGCAAAGTCAGTTACCAGACAGACCAGAGTATCCCAAGACATCGAGAGCGAAGTGGAAGCTGATCCCATGACCATGCCGATTGATGTTCCGGAGCCAGAGAAAGATGGTGATTACAACCCGAAGAAGAAAATGCCAAAGAAGTCTGCACGAGGAAGACCAAGGAAGGCTAGTCTCAAGAAGAGGGAGAGTGAGGGGGGGATCTAGTGGGAGTTGAGGTTGGCAGTGATGAAATGCTGCTTAGATTGGAGGCGATGGTTCGCAGCTGGTTAGATACGTGGGAGTTGGAATATGTGCCTTGGTATGCGAGTGAATTGGCCTGTTTTGCTCTGTTCGACTTGTCCCAATATCCGTACACCATTTTCTTGAAGTGTCTACAAACCGTCACTCGAGTGTGCCTTCGGTCTCTACCATTCGCCTTCTCCAGGCAGCGTGACTGCTCATGCCTGAGGTCTCATCATCCAAGGTTAAGGTTGAAATCGCAGGTGTTGGGCAGGCCAATTCTTCACGGTGAATTTATGACGTAAGGGAAGCCCGTAGAAAGACCTCGTGCCTTAGTCCATAATGCGCTCACACTAAAACAAGTTTCTACTCGGCAAAAGATTTCACACATGGTATACACTTTGACACTTTTTGCTCAGGTCGATATCTACTCTGTGGGCGTGATTAGAGCGAGGCAAATAGATCCACCAACGAAGGTTCAGCAGTTCGAAAGCTTAAGACGTTTGGAAATCCGCGCAGACAAGCTTATATTACTTTATTTGTATAAACAACCTTAATTGGTTGCCCCAATTATGTTTATGCCGAAATTTTTCAAACACTATTGGCTAGGTACTATAGTTTCTCAACACCATGACTGCAGCTGAACCACAGCCCATGTAATACAATAAACCTGGCCTGGAGATCTCGCTGCCAATCATATCATGGGGCATCACTTTGTAGTTATATAAATTTTTGCTAGAACGTCATGAATTGAATATCTATATTTGTCGTGTAACAAAACGCCAGGCCCAAACACCATAACCTAAACTTATCAAACAGCCTTCTAAACTTTCCCAGCTGGTCTAAACCTTTTCACAACTTAGGATCTCAATCCTAAGCTTTCGAGAACCTCGCCTACATGTAATGTTGGTACATGTTCTGCGGCTGCGGCATCACAAAAGGTTGCGGCGGATTCGCAGGCCGCATGTCCATATTTGGACGAGGGGGAGGGGGAGGGGGAGGGTGACCGTAACCGTACCCGTGACTGTAAGCCAGAGCCGGATCAATATAAAGAGTCGGAGGGACAGCCGGAGCCGGAGCAAGATGGGGAGCCAGATGGGGGTGAGAAGGAGGTTGCTGGGGAAAGGGACCAGCAGCCTGATAGTAAGAACCCTGGGCTGGAGGATTGAAGCCCGGGGGTTGAGGATAGGGACCCGGGGCTGGAGGGGAAAACCCCGGGGTTACCTGGAACACTTTTTGGTCGTGAATTTGACCAAATTGATTCTGGCCATAAAGTTGACCAGGAGGTTCATAAACAGGCTGGGCAGCGGCCATCTCAGCGTAGATTCGCTGCTTCCTCCAAGCCAAATGCGCCATCCCCTCTTTATCCATTTGCTTCTGCAACTTGTTTGCAGAAAGAGGCTTTGGCGGTTTGGCGGCACGCTTGGTGACACGCCCGGGGGAAGTCCGGGACTGCTTGGGCCGGGATGCCTTGACGGGCCCAGGAATGACGCTCTCGGGGGCATCATTCGCGGCCAAAGCGGATGAAGGAGCCATGGCCTGGGGCTCTATGCCCTCAGTAACAACAGCAGAGGGCCCAATGTCAGGGGCAGGACCCGGCAAAAGAAGGGCGGGTTGGGCGGAGGGAGGGGAGGGTTGAGAGGAGGGTAGAGAGGAGGGTAGAGGGAGGGTAGAGAGGAGGGTAGAGAGGAGGGTAGAGAGGAGGGTAGAGAGGAGGGTAGAGAGGAGGGTAGAGGGATTCGGGGTCCCCAGAGGGTTTCATCCTCGGGACTCTCATCCGACGAGCCAGGATTTTGTTCCCTTTGCTCTGTCTGCATCTTCTCCCACAGGAGAGTGTCTTGCTCCCCATTTTCGTAGAGGAGAGCGCCTTGCTCCTCATTCCCGTACGGGAGAGCGTCTTGCTCCCCATTCTCCCTTGGATTGCAGTCCCTAAGAGGACGGAAACGTTCAAGCCAGTAAGCATTGTCCATCTTAGGAAAGGAAGTTGGAGGTGTTGACATGTTGTTGAAGTTATAATACACTTGTCAGTATATAAGTGGAGTATGGAAGAGTAGAAAGATGAACTTGAAGTGATGTCTTGGAGACTAGAGAGATGACTTGAAGAGACTAAAAGAGAAGGATAAGAACTGCCGAGAAGGTGATATTTATAGCCTGCAAGACAACAATGCCATGTTAATTCAGCTGTAGCTCTAAGATAGTGTTTCGACTTGAGGCAGTTTTATGGAGTCATTGGCGATGGCGAAGGAAGCACATGAATGGTAGAAGTTAAGATATCACTGCTAAGCTTTCAAAAAGATGAAAGCAATAATTCACGCAGAACTCTCTTCCCTTCGTCCACGGTGTGAAGAGCGGAGAAAAAGGCCGTAGGGATCACCTGCCTCAGTCTGAGCCCCCAAGAATCACCGTCTATTCGTTCAAGCTGAAAACTCTTTGGTTGAGTCACTGATGGAAGCATCAAGGAGGCAATGCAGGCGAAATTAAACGTATTGAGGTGATTTTACAGTGCCACCCTGAGCCAGAACAGCGAATGGAGTAGAGACACTACGTGCGCGAGTTATTTGATCAAAGTATCTACACGGGGGCGAAGAGTCTATTGTGTGAGCCTCATGTGCCGACGATGACTGACTTTAATCTGCCCTGGATATCACAGAGGCGAGTGCCTCCCACCATTATTTCATTTGATAAAAGCATTGGCATTGATGCAAAAAGAACATACCAGAAAGCTACCGTCCTAAGAAAACATATCACAGTCTTGTAAAAGCGAACGGAGAGCAGAATAGATCGACTGAGATTGATTCAACAGGCAATAAAGTGAGGCACTACTGAGGTGTAGTTGATATAAGCCTAGACGCCGCAACGACCTATGAACGCTGTGAGGCCCGTGCAAATGGGGCAAGGACATGCAGGTACCAAACCTTAGCTGCGGTGCAATCCGATATCTGCATAAAGCTGCTTAGAAGGATCGCGGGGTGCTTGAGGCGTGCTCAGCGTTTGATACTGCGAAACAATGCCTGTCTGTCTTGTTCATGTTTGCTTGGTGTTTGCTCTAGGACTGAAGTTGGGTAGAGATTCATAGAAATAAAAAAAAACAGTATGATTCGTGAATGAGATTGCTGCTGTCTCTTGCTGTTACACTAATGCAAGCATCCGCGCAAACAACATCCCTCAGTAGCCACCTCAGGGCACCTTCCACCCCCGACAGCCCTTTTCTTGTCTCTTTCATTCTCTCCGCATAATCATCAGTATAATGGGCTTATTCTCTTCTTTTGATCGCACTTGAAATGCGAATGTTTACAGCATCTGTATCTTCATCCTAAGCAGTAACTTCCCACTCTTCAACATGTCGGACCACGAGTACATCGACACGGACGACGAGGACGATCGATATCGCCTGATCCTGAACCCGTCGAAGCCTCGAAAGTTGACGGAAAAGAAGCTCCGAGACCAAGCTGCTCTTCAAGCGCACATAGAAAAGACACAGAGAGACGCCGTGAGGAGTGCCGTTCCTTTCAGCGATCCTAGTAAACAGTCCCTCGCCCAGCTCATGAACCAGAACGAGAGCCACAAGATCATCGCGTCGCCTCGAGAATACCAGATTGAGCTGTTCGAGCGCGCTAAAGAGAGGAACCTCCTCGTGGTACTACCTACAGGTGTGTTCACGAGCTACTAATCGGGGGTGTCTGCTAACAGTGCAGGTACTGGCAAAACACTCATCTCCGCCTTGCTGCTGCGACATCACCTCGAACAGGAGCTTGAGGCGCGGGCCATCGGGAAAACCAAGAAAGTCGCCTTTTTCCTTGTGGAAAAGGTCGCCCTCTGTGTTCAGCAACATGCTGTCCTCAGCTGCAACCTCGGAGCCCACCCAGTTACCAAGTTCGTGGGTCATATGAAAGGCATGGCGAAAACGAAAGAATACTGGGATGAGAAGTTTGGCGAAAACATGGTCGTGGTCTGCACTGCCCAGATCCTCCTCGACTGCCTCACTTGCGGCTTCATCACCATGTCCCGAATAAACCTCCTCATCTTCGACGAGGCACACCACACCAAGAAGAAGCACCCGTACGCTCGTATCATGGATGGGTATTACTACAAACATGAAGGCGAAAAGCCTCGCATACTAGGAATGACTGCTTCGCCGGTGGATGCGCGAACCAGGGACGTGAAAGACACTGCCTTGGAGCTTGAGAGGTCTCTTGACAGCCAGATCGCCACCATTTCAGATGAGGTGCTGATGGAGACCATGCACCGACAGAAGCAAACCGAAGAAACCGTCAACTACAGAAGGCTTGAAGCTGCTGATGATACAAAGACCAGCTTGTGGGACCAGATATTTGCCCTCGTTTCTCGCAACGAACAGTTCAAGTTGTCGCTCGAGTTCACGAAAGAGGCCTCCTCAGTCCTCGGCACTTGGTGCGCAGACAGGTATTGGGAGCTTGCAATGACGGACCTCGAGACTGAGCGGCTCGCAGCCAGGACAAGTCGAGAATTTATCGGAGATATTGCAGTAATAAGGGCGGATCAAGCAACAGAGGCCGTCCGGCGTGTCCAGGCAATTGTCCGTGCTCACAAGTTTGGTGCGGTTGACCCCAAGGCCGAAGGTCTCTCAGCCAAGGTGAAAAGCCTCCACGAGATCTTGGTGCACGCTTTCACAATTGATGGTACCAAACGTTGCATCGTTTTTGTCGAGAAGCGATACACAGCCCGTTTACTTTCGGATCTCTATAGCCAACCTTTTATGAGGATTCCAGGAATGAATGCTTCATACATGGTGAGTGATAGCCTTTCCCATTTGACGTTGCTAACAATTTCAGGTTGGCTGTCAATCAATCAGTTCGAGCTTCGGTACCATGTCGTTTCGAGACCAAGTCCTCGCCCTCCACGAATTCAAGCGCGGCAATACCAACTGCCTCTTCACAACACCAGTTGCCGAAGAGGGCATCGATGTTCCAGATTGCGACCTTGTTATTCGCTTTGATCTGTACAACTCCGTCATTCAATACTTGCAATCCAAAGGACGCGCTCGACAAGCACGCTCTCGATATATAACCATGATGGAGCAAGGAAACTTGACACATATTCGAAGTGCGAAACAAGCATTGAGAGATTCACAAGCCTTGGAGAAGTTCTGTCTTTCGCTTTCTGCTGACCGAAAACTTCATGATGATTTGATAGACGAGAACATGGAGATGATGGTTGAGCGGATGCAGCATCAAGTGTACGAGATACCCTCGACAGGCGCACGCCTTACGTTTCCTGCCAGCCTCGAAATTCTGGCCAGATTTGCTTCTCACTTGTCAACTGACAGCTACGCCAAAGTTGAATACCAAGTACAGAAGGTCGGTGATCGATATCTGGCCGACGTGGTCATGCCATCCCAGTCCCCGGTCAACTTTGTGAAGGGTACGCAACAGCGAAGCAAATTGATGGCCAAGTGTTCTGCAGCATTCGAAGCCTGCAAGATACTGATCAGAGACAAACATGTTGACGGCAATCTTCAGCCAACATTCAAGAAAAAGGTCCACGCTATGCGAAACGCACGGCTAGCTGTGAGTTCAAACAAGAAGGCTGACTACGACATGCGATTACGGCCAGAGATTTGGGCTGAACGCGGAGAGTGGACTGAATGCTTTGCGACTACAATCACCATCAAAGACGGGGGTCCCCTTAGAAAGTACGTGGCCGGAAAGTCGTTGATTCTTATCTCGCGAAAGCCGATCCCGAAACTGCCAGGCGTCCCTTTGTTCTTTGGCAATGGACATTCCTCTATTGCGGAATTGACGCCTGCCCAGGATGCCCTTCACCTCAATCCTGAGGAAGCTGACGGATTGACAAAATTCACTCATCGGGTATTCGCCGATGTGTTCAGCAAAGAATACGACACCACGTCCGACCAATATCCATATCTCCTCACACCTTGCGCCGACAGTCCCCAACCAGACATTCGGTCACACATCGACTGGGATGTTGTCAATCTTGTGAGGGAGAACGAGGTGCTCGACTGGGAGAATGCGCCAGAAGACTTTTTCTTCAACAAGCTTGTGACTGATCCATATGATGGAGGACGCAAGCTTGTCATTAAAGGTATCGACGAAACGAAGAAGCCATCCGACCCAACACCAGAAGGGGTCCCCGAATCAAGAAGCAGAGCATATAGGTCTGTAGAACCGACAATCATGCAATACAGTAACAGTCTGTACTTTAAATCTCGCCAAAAGGTAAAGTGGCGGGATGATCAGCCTGTAGTCAAGGCAGAGTTGCTCTCCTTACGACGAAACCTTTTGGATGAGTTTGAGGTTGACGAGAAGGTCAACATGGAGTGTTTCATCATTCTGGAACCTCTCAATGTGTCTCCTGTAAGTCAAGTCCTTGCCTCGAGGCTAGTCTAATTGTCACAGCTACCCATTGACGTAGTTTCTATGGCCATGGCATTTCCAGCCATCATTCACCGAATAGATTCCGTCCTGATTGTCTTGGATGCATGCAATCTTCTTGGCCTTGAGATTCCACCGGAACTAGCACTAGAGGCAATGACCAAAGACAGCGACAACTCTGGAGAACATGACGCAGAACAGGTCAATTTCCAGACAGGTATGGGCGACAATTACGAACGATTAGAGTTCCTCGGCGACTGTTTTCTCAAGATGGCCACTACGATCTCAATCTACACGCTTATGCCTGATGGAAATGAGTGCAAATACCACGTTGAGCGCATGCTTCTCATTTGCAACCAGAACCTCTTCAATCATGCAGTTGATCGCAAACTCCAAGAGTTTGTCCGGTCCAAAGCATTTGACAGACGAACGTGGTATCCCGATCTTCCACTCAAGAAAGGAAAGGCACCGAAAACTTCAATGAAGCATAATCTGGCCGACAAGACGATTGCTGATGTGTGTGAAGCTCTCATTGGAGCGGCATATCTCACTAGCAAGGACAGCAACATGGATCTGGCTGTCAAAGCCGTGACGCGAATGACCAAGTCAAAGAACCACAGGATGAAGACTTTCAAGGAGTATTATAAAGCCTACAAGGTCCCTGAGTGGCAGGAAGGTAATGCGTCCGCCGCTCAGCGCAGCCTTGTACAAAAGGTGGCACAAGCGACAGGATACCGTTTCAAGTCTGCACAACTGGTTCAGAGTGCCTTCAAGCATCCTTCATGGCCATATGAGTCTGTACCAGATTACCAGCGACTCGAGTTTCTGGGCGACTCACTTCTCGACATGGCCATCGTCGATTATCTCTATCGAAACTTCCCCGGAGCAGATCCTCAGTGGCTGACGGAACACAAGATGGCCATGGTATCGAACCAGTTTCTCGGCTGTCTCTGTGTAAAACTTGGTCTGTATAAACACTTACTCTCCAGCACATCCAGCCTCCTTAGTCAGATTCGCGATTATGTCGTGGAACTTGAGGTTGCTGAGGAAAATGCTCGCAAGGAAGCAAAGGAAGAGGGGACTCCCATGCGCAAGGACTTCTGGCTGAGAGTGGATTCGGCACCAAAAGTTTACGCCGATGTGATCGAAGCTCTTGTTGGAGCCATGTTTGTCGATTCAAAGTACAAATTTTCGGTCGTCGAGAATTTCTTCACCAAATTCATCCAACCATATTTCCAAGACATGGGTCTCTACGACACGTTTGCGAACAAACACCCAGTCACCTTTCTGTCCAAGAAGATGCATCAGGAATATGGTTGCACAAACTGGCGCATCAGCGCAGAAGCTGTGCCATGTAGTGCAGATCAAGGCATGGCGGCGTTGAAGGATACGGAAATGTGCGCTGTGTTTATGGTGCATCAAAAGGTTATCGCAGATGACACTTCTGAGAGTGGACGATACTCCAAGCAGCGTGCCGCGTCGAAGGCGCTCAAGATACTTGATTCGTTTGGTGAGGATGTTGAGGCGGCGAAGAGGTTTTTGGGGTGTGATTGTCAGCTTGGAGGCGGGGATCTTGAGATTGATCATGGAACAGCTGTTTGAGCTGAAGTCGACGCTAGAATTGGGGGACATGTGTTTTAGACATGAAGCGTTTTACAGCGTTAGAAGCGTAGACAAAGATTATAGAGCAATTAAAAGCGCTGCGTTGACGGTTCCTGGTCCTTCGAGTGTATGGTTGAGACAGACATGACCGAGCAAGCATCGTCTCTGCATTGGGCCTAGACATGGTGATATACAGTTGAATCTCTTCTGATTTCCAAATGTACTCGTCCATCACTGTTTGACTTTCCCGGGTATAATACTCGATAGCCCTCGTCTATCAGGCATAACATACCCATCCCTCGCCTCAACACTCCCCCACAACTGCGGCGAATAATACACAAACGGCAGCTCCTCAAACGCCAAAACCGGGTTCCCTTTAATAAACTCTTCAAATCCCATCTCCTTCCGCCTCGCAAGCGCAATCTGGATCTGCTGCACCCAGAACATAGCCTGTGTCAAACCAGTCCATTTCGCCATCTCCAGCGCCGTCGACGAATCCAGCGAAGCATCACCGCGTTTGGTACTCATAGAAGAAGACTTGGTCTTTTCTGTCAGACGGTTGAATAGAAAGTTTATGAGGCTCGCGTGGCTGGCGACGTTGAGTTCCGACTCTGGGATGAGCTTTGCTTCGTCGATGAGGATTGCTGCTAGGAAGTCTAGATCTTCGGAAGATGGGAGGTCTGTGTTTGCTGAGCGGTGGTTTGTAGCATTTATCATTTGTGAAACAGCTAGGTCTTTTCTTGCTTGCGAGGGTAGGTTGAAGATATTGGGGAGGGGCTTCTTGTCGGGGTTGGCGAATGTCATTCGGGCGGCGATGCTCTCCCATGTTGATTGGGAGTAGTATTCCCTCCACTCATCGCCCTTGATGTCGAAGAGGGATTTGAAGGCCTCGTAAGTGGTGAATTGGCTTTCGGACGATTCTACCTCCAAGGAACGGGTGTAAGCGTGGATGATCTGAATCCAGAAATACGCCTGTGTCTCTGAATACGGAGGAATCGAAGAATCCGAAGCTCTTGAACGCATCGTAGAAGACTGTAAAGCTTCAAGAGCCTGTTTAACAACCCCTCCCCGTCTAAGCTTCGACGAAAGAGTCTTCTGAACCACCGAGAACGCAAACCGGGGTAATCGATCAACATCGTTTGTAACTTTCTCCTGTACAGGCGCAGAAGCGACCTGCTTAATAGTAGGAAGAGGCTGTAAATCCGGCAGACTATAATTATCCCGAGCTAGCGGTGAGAACAGCAGGTCCTTGGAGTAGTATGCTCTCCAGAGGCCGGAGTTCATGAGATGAGGTGCTGAGAAGACAATGTCGGCGTAGTCTTCTCGCGAGGGGAATTCGTCAAGGGAGTGTGCTTGGTATTCTATTGCAGCGACTTGGATCTGGTGTAGCCAGAATATCGTCATTGTTCTAGAGAGTTAGTTGTGAGAGATAGGGAGTGGGTGGGTGACTTACTTGTGCGCTGTGTTGCGGAACCTCTCGGGATTTCCCTCTCGTAGGCGATTCAGATGCTTCATGAACTCATCAGCACACTCCAAGAGTCCTAAGCCTCTTCCAAAACAATCGTGCATGACGAAGAAGCCTGCTCTGAGATGGGTGTAATGATCCCACGCCTCTAAACTCCCATCTAGAAACGACTGCCAGAACGTGTTTGTATCAGCACTCTCAGCATTAGCCGTTCTTATCTTATTGCGAAGCTCCTCTTCACTCGGCCCCTTCTCCCTCTGCTCAATCTCAGCTCTCGTATTTTTCGCTGGTTTCTGCGGTCTCAAAGTCTTTCGTATCTCATCCATGAGATGGTGAGCCTGACAACCCGAAAGGGCACTCAGACCAGGAGTATCCAAGATCTTTATATCGAGCTTATCAGCATATGGTTTAATCTCAGCTTCAATCTTCTCCTTTAAATCTTTCACGATTTGGGGTCGCTCTTCTTCTGAGAGGAGATCTTGCTTGTTGAAAATGATAAACATGTGCTTTGCTTCGTATTCAAGCATCATGTTCAATCCCATGCGGAGGTACTCAAGCGAGAACTCAACACGGCCGGACTCAGTGTCGGTGCAGCTTTGGATGAAGATGAGAAAGCGATCCTGGGACATGTAGTGTCGTATAAGAGGACGAATACGATCACACCCTAGACTGTCAGTAAAGGTCACGGTTACAGACGATAACTTACCTCCAACATCCCAGAGGGTGACTTTCTCTCCATCAGGATGGTCGATAGTCTCGACGTTGAAGCCAATTGTTGGAATAGTCTGTACAACTTCCCCGAACTTGAGTCTGTATAGAAATGTCGTTTTGCCAGATGCGTCATTGCCTAGAACGAGGCCGACATGTTCGCGGCCTCCGCCCAAGAGCCAATGTGCGATACCTGGACTTGTAAGTATTCAATAAATGGGAGTCTTGCTAAGACTTACGCATGATGTTGATGGTTGAACTGATTTGGAGTGAACCTGGCCAGAAACAGAATGATGCCAATGTTTTATATGTTGTTAAAAGTCGCTGCCTTGAGGTGGGGAGCTGAGATTAGACGTGGCTTCAGTCTGCCTTGTTCTTCAGCTTCTCAAAATAGGTAGCTACGCTAAGTGTCCACTCCAGCCCCTCAGCTTCTAGTTCAATAACCATGCAATGTTTTACAGTCTTCGTGAGAAGACTGAACTGTACTATTCATTTCCACGCAAGTCTAGTCCCGCCTCTTGGGTATCAATCCTAATCCATAGACCCAGCAAGCGCAACAGCACTAAATCTCAAATCACCACCCTCCCTCTCCAGAAACTTCAGCGCACCCAGCGCCAAACCCTTTGGACTCAGCACATCCTCATTGTCTTCCAGATCGCCTCGTCGAATGGGTCCTTTTCGTCGTCCGTCGAGTTCCCACAGTCCACCGTCTGTGCCCTTGGCGAAGCATACGTAGTGTAGCTCCACGTCGTCTTCTGCTGCGGGCGCGGGCGTGTCGCCTTGTGTAGCGGCTTCTTTATGCGCTGTCGCGAGAGCAGGTGTTGTTTCGAGAACATTTGCGCGGCCGTAGGGATCAAGAGGGATACTCTTCTTGATCAACACATCAAGCGTAGAATCCTCCTCTGCAAGATATTAGCCCCATCCATCCCCCCAAATGTAAAACGTACCGATGAAATTTCTAGCATTTCCATTGCATACAGCATGCAGCAAGCCCATCAGCCCACAGGCATTCCTAATTGTCTGCGGCCACCAGAGCACCGGCTCCGTATCCCCCTTGCCCTTGTACTCGTCGGCCAGACTATCCTCAGCCATGCGGTGACTCTCGTACACGGCGCTTACGGGGAACACGAGGAGGAGAGCGAGCGCGGGGCGGGGTATGAAGGCGAGCAGGTCTGGGTCGGTGAGGGAGTAGACGTCGTGCATTGCGAGAGCGGGAGAGACGCCGAGTTTGTGGATGAGGGTTGTCATGAGCTCGGGGTTGGCCTCGAGGGGGATGAAGGCCGGGCGGGAGTCGGAGGGGTCGGGGTCTGTTGTTGAAGACATTTTGGCGGTTGTTTGCGGTGAAATGTGAGGTTGTGATGGTGTTGAGATGTATTGGCGATTGTTAAGCTGCTGATGATGAGGGAAGAAATGCCCCACGTTGAGTTGGCGGGGTGGTTTACTGATGACGTCGCCTAAACACCACCTAGGTAGCCTTATAGCCTCAGGTCTGTATCATCCTCGGCATACAAACACCATGCACTATCGTTTGAGTTATGCATAAGCCCCCATCAAACAGTTTCAGGATTTACAGAAGAAGAAATTATGTTGAAACTCCCTCTAGCTATAATATCAGGCATTATAGAACGTCATGGAAGATGACACCGAGTTTCTTCCACCGTTGTAGGGTAGTCATCACCAAACAACGATTTTATCTCTCACTCATTTAATGACATTTAGTCCTTCCAATCCATTAAAGACACAGACAAATCATCGATCAGCCTTGACCGCAGATCCCATTCTCCTCATCTTCCTAGTCTCTTGATCAGCGCTGCCATATTTAGTCTCTGCTAGTTTGATTGTGTCACCTCAACGCGAGAAACAGATCCGAAACGATCTATAGTTATATGGGTCGCCGCACGTAAAAAGCAAAGTGATATGTAACCCTTCTGCTATAGCAATCCAGGCTTATAGAAACATGATTGAAACGATATAAACATCACACCAACTGGTGATTTATATCACATCTTTTGAGCTTTCGACAAAAGGTTTGTCCCGTGTGCACAGAGATCCCCGACGCGCGGAACCGGTCTCGCACTAACAAATCCATGATTGAGATCTTCTCGTACAATGTGACCCTCACCACGAAGAATCCGTCAATTTCTCCGTCCGTATCCGTACGACAAGGACATGACACGAGAGCTACAGTGACGAGAACACAAAGGTAGCAATCTAATACAAACAGGTGGTATCCAACACCCAACGCATATACACAGGGAACAAGGCAATTTAATAGACGAGCATCATCGAACTCAAAAATCAGCAGCGGCCCGTCCCCCGTGTCCGTAGAATGTAACCGTGGGAGAGTATCGTTGCAACGTGGACAAGGCTATTGTGATAATCGACCCAATGACTCGGATGCCGACATTCTGTCTCGGACAATGCGATACCACAGCGTAATTGTTGGCGTTGGGGACCTGTGAGTTCGCCTATACTCACTATCTCCTTTTTGATCGCTTACAGCCATGAATGACTCGATTGGTGTATCAGGTAAGCACACAGCTTCTCTTCGTTCCTCGGACTATCACTGCTTGATTCGGAGCCGTTTTGATGGCGTCAGTCGGCGGGTTAAACCCCAGATGGCAGTTGACCAAGCCCTTTTCCAGGACTATTCATCAGGTTTGCATCTCATTTGTTGGCGATATTTTCCGTGACACTTCGCAAAGCCCCTGAGTGGGAAGAATAGTGGTCCCTGCATCCGTCCATATCGGTCCAGGCTGGTCCAGGGATGGGACATTATACATATGTAGACAGAGTTCGGCTCAGTTTCAGGGGTGATGCAAGTCAGACGCCCCCTGACCTGACCCGAGCTGGGGCCCTGGGGGGCTAGGGGAGGAAAGGAAACACAGGACCTTGACCATAAGCGATAAAAATATTTGGGTAAATCTAGCCTAAGTTTAGGGGGCTCTTTCTTAGTTTATTTTAACACACCCTATATCAAGGTCCGGTGTTTTCTTGCTCCCTGAGGGGGGGTAATCGGCCACTCTCCCGCCGACAATCTACTCTGTACCTACCTTATGCAAAGAAGTGACGATGTCTCAGCCTGTATGTGGAATGTCTGAGTCAGTGGAGAGACATTCTCACGTCAAGGTATTCTCTTCATTCATGACCAAGACACAACATTTATCGTCTCCCCACTCTTCAACTCTCTCAGGTCCTTCGTGGCCTGTCACTCTCCGCTAGCACCCTCCACTCCAAACATGGTTGCATGGATCCCTTCCTCTCGTTCGTTGGCGTCATCTATCCCTGTCCCCCTGTCTTGTCTGTTTTAGGTCAAGGATGATATGTACCTGTTCTTCCAAAGAAGCTTCTCAAACCAAACAGCGAGGAATAAAACAAAAACGACCAGACCTTTCCCACCACATCCTCCCAACTAAACTCTAAAGCCACAGGACACAAGACCAAAACAGGTTCCAATTCACGGGGCTTGCATTAGTCTCACGTTTTCACTTGGACGGGTTTGATACGGTGCCTACCTACTTATAAGCGCCTGGTTTTCCTTTTTGTTTGGCGCCTCGATTGCGCATACCCTTTTTCATTTCACATCGGAATGCGAACATCTCGTATTTAAATAAAAAGCGCGGAGGTGTCCCCTTTGACTTGGAGTCTCTCAAAACCTCGCGCATCTTTTAATTGATGCCGACCTGCCGCATGGCGGGTAAAGGCAATCATCATGGGCTTCTTTAACAATATCTTTGCGCGAAAGAATGGCAACAAGGCTTCGCTCAAGGGTCAAGCGTACAATTCGACCGTAGCCTCGATTCCACCAATTCAAGGTAAACATCACAATCGACATCTCGAATTCTCTGTCTAACAGCACCAGGAACATACCCAGTCGCTGGAAATGGCCCAAACGTGTTGGATCAGCTGCAGCGAGCAGCCAGAAAACGCAGCCAAGCCCAACTATCAACGGTATCACAAGATCCAGCAGCGCCACCTCCCATGGCCCCCCGATTCAGAGGCCCATCTCCCTTCCGCCCAACAACAGCTCCAAACCAAGCCAACAGCCACTCATCCCGCCCTCTCTCCCTCTCACGAAGCATTCGAAGCTCCAATTCAGCATGGAGTGTCCCCGAGCGACCAACACGAGGTCGCGAACGCCCACCGCCCGTACCATCGATCCCAACACACCATCGTCGCGAGAGCTCGGCAGATTCAGCGCATGATAAGCGGAATTCGTTTATAGACATTCTCGATGCGCAGGGGGAATTTAGACCTTCCAACTTTAGATCGCGGGTGGCTGCTTCGGGGGCGAGGGAGTATGGGGAAGACGTTGCGGAGAGGAATATTGGCGAGAATGGCGTGAACCTTGGTAGTGCTGCTGCCAAGGCCTTTTATCGACTTTCTGGTGGGAGGGAGTTGCAGTCGTTTGAGTATGAGGAAGACGAGGACGATTCTGCGCCGGCGCCGGGAGTTCCGCATGGCGATTTGGGGACGATACGGGAGGCTAGGTCAAGGCCTTCAAGTTCATCAGCATGGAGATCTCTCTCGGGATCAATTGGTAATGATCTACCAAGATCAGGCAAGTCGAATCGACGAGAGTCACAATCCAATCTCAACCCAGGAAGATTATCGATGCGAGATCGGAGAAGGTCGTTCAATGCTTTTGCTTCTCCATCAGAACCCGAACCTCAACCTCGCAAACCTAGGCCTACGAGTCTACATCCTTCACTATCCAGTGGCTTCACATACGAGACTTCATCTTCACCACCGCCAGTTCAAAGATCTCGACCAAAGACAAGCGAAGGTCGAAGCCGAGGAAGGAGTTTTAGTCGTGTTGAGATTGATACAGTCGACGAGGCGTTTGATGGAGCTGCGCCGTGTCCAATTATTCCAGCACAGTTCAGACCAGACAAGCGAGCAAGTGTATATCTTGAGCCAAACTACCGATATGACCGAAACGATGCACATCATCCTCGGCCAGAGTCGTATCACGGCGGATCAACTCTTTCGTCGTATCCACGAAGCGAACTGTCACAACCATCGCGTCCGTCAAGCTCTTCGTCAATCGACAAACCATTTCCTCGATCTCGCACCATGGCCAGCGTTGCTCTACGAAACCAGCGTCTAGACGACATAAACGAACACATTCCTGTACGGACATCATCTCTAAACGTCAGCTCACAGGCAAACATCACTCCTAAAACACAGTCATCAGGTTTCTCAAGCATTCAATACCCCGTTGGTCATCATACGCCAAGTACATCTATCGATGCATCTCTCCCGCCTTCGATCAAGATACGACCTGAGCATGAGCAGGGCGCTGCAGTGAACCAGAACACTCAGCATAACTCACCTGGGGATGACTATTCCGCCAAGACACTTGTCCCATCGCGGTTGGATGTCGAGCAACATCTTGGCCATCCCATGACAACCGGTCACGACATGGATCTCTACCTCTCCGACGCAAGCGAAGACTCAATAGACTCATTCGTCGCATGGAAAGAGAAGCGCCGCGACGGCGAAGGACTCCTTATGAAGGACAACTACGGCATGTCAGGCGGCGGTCTCCCAGGGATATACGAACCCCTCCCCATTCTCAAAGCTCCCGCCTCACCTCCCCCCATCCCCGTGATCCCCTCTGCACCAGTCTCCAAACGTCCCAAAACACCAAAAAGTCCAAAGAGCCCTCGCACACGAAGCAACAAATCTACACCCCGCCGCACGCGCCAATCCCGCAGCCGCACAACTACCCCCCGTCGCACGCGCCAGGTCTCTACCTCTGAAGACCCAGACTCGGATTCATTCTGGGAGAGCGACGCCCCCGTCGCACCAGGTTTTGTGTCTCTTGCAGATTTAGGAATTGATCTTCGTGAGATAGGGTGGGATCAGTATGGGCTTACGGAGGCGGATGATGCAAAGGTTGATATACAGACTGCTATTAAACTGCGCAGGGCGATGGAGAGGAGGAAGAAGCAGCAGCAGAGGATTGATGATGAGGGGTGTGCGGCGGATGTGGAGGATTAATGAAGATATGAAGGAAGCATGGAGTTTGGGATAGGATACTACGATATGAAGGATTTCTTTTGTAATGATTTGGGCGTTGATATATCGGGGCATTATTGGGTCATGGATGATGGGCTATAGCATAACGATGGATACCAATGGGAATTTGTTTCTTTGTTCAATTACTCGCATGCATTTCATTGTGATGTCTTGTTTAATAGACATGGTAAGACCACAAAATTCTCCCTCATCAGGTCAATTGACGGAACCGAGTACAACAATCCCATAAGAATCACCTTGACTCTGCTATGCAATCACCCGAAGTCTCTGTAAGGCCCGAACTCATCTCGTCCCGTCCCGGTTCGCGCATCCAAAAAAGGAAATTCTCCTAAAAAGGAAAGTTTTGATTTCATGGCCAGTAGTCAAGTCACTGCAAAAAGATCGCAATCAGTTCAGTTGTGGCAATACGTAAAAGTAATAACTAGTGTTGCCCCGTACTGGAATCGAACCAGTGATCTTCGCATTACGAGTGCGACGCCTTACCACTTGGCCAAGAGGGCTGGATGAGTTATTAGACGCTAATGTGCTTTTTGGAAATATGTTCGCTTACGAAACTGACTGCTCAACTGGGGTGATTGACCCCAGGCGTTGTAAAATTCTTCATCTATGGCTGGTGGGACTTTATCAAATAGACAGTTGTTAAAGTTTTGATTTGGATGCTGAGATGATTGTCCACTTGGCACGGGGGGGTATATTATCGGGGTGGCCTTTGAGGCTTGATCTCGACGTCGTAGGGGGCTCAAGCTGTCTGCTGGTTATGGAACTAGGAAAAAAAGACAACGAAGGCCTGCAACATAGCATGAAAGAGTTTCTTATAGACTCGTAGCCTCGTATGTCTTTCGTACAGAATGTAAACGAGCTCCGTCTTGCATTCCGGCGACGGCCGGAGGGTCTCCACAAATCCGGCGACCGGGGCTCCGTCTATTGCCGGATGTCATTTTCTGAACCCACGGCACTGCCGCTGCATTATCAGTTGGATTGTGCATGATAATTTCTCGGCAATTAGATGTTATGGCGCAGAACTTTGGGTTTCTGTTACACCCTCAGACTCACGGGTGCATCCTGATGATATCATGCTATAATGCGATGGTTTAAGAGACCACCAAAGCCATGTTGCTCAAGCCTGAGATATCAGAATAACAATCTTATCAGAGACTTTGAATAGGCGGATCTCTTAAAAACTACTATAATGTCGCATGCTGATATTCTCAGAGTCGCTCGCGCGGCTTAGCGAGCTTCAGCCGCAATCCCCAAGGGCGATATCAGGTCCTTTTCAGTATCCCCTCGACTTGGGACCCCTCCGATTCTGATGGAAGATAAAGACGAAGGCCCTGGGATCATTCTCCACAACAGTCGTCCTCATCTCTTGGAACATCTGATCCCTCCAAGATAATTCACATGGGTAGGCGTTTCATCGACGCTGATGTAGAGTGTATCATGATTGAGAGCGAGAGCATCACAGAGAATGTCGAGTTGGAGAATGGATGTGATTCAGCAGATTTTGAGGGAGTCACCGCAAGAGAAAGTGATGTTTGAGGCGGCGGATCCAATTGTCTTTAATTGGTACGTTAGCGTGTTTGGGACTGATGTTAATTTGCTTGTGGAACATTCGCAGATTGTGCAGTTGTTGTGTTTGAGTGAGGGAATTTGGAGACAATCCGATACGTTTGGATCGGTTGTTAATCACAGGCCTTGAAGATTGTTTGTGCTTGAAGGATTTGTTGATTGTTGTGTAGATTTGTTGAGGGTTGGACAAGCAATTGGCTCGTCTAAATGGTGATGCCATCATGATGCACTGAGTAGCCCCGCGATGGGGCTGGACAATCTCGATGGCTGCACTGCACACTGACATCATTGCTCAGAGACTTAAATAAAATGTCGTGATCATTTCAATCTCTTACTTCACTTACATTTGCTGAGATTCGGATACAGAATAATTGCATTTACTGACTGACCACAATTAATCATCATGTCCCAAGCCGGAAAAAATGGTTCATTCGACCCTGTTCCTGAGGCTCAGGCACAAAAGCTTCCAGGGTACACACGCGATCAATTGACCTGTCCCAAATGAGTTTTTGACATCAGATGGCAGAACCGAAAAGGCTATGAACCCGACTAGCGAGTCTACCAAACTCGAAGGCAAGAATGAGTTCCACGAGTACAGAGCCGCCAACAAGCTCGAGGGTGCCAAAGCTCTCATCACAGGCGGAGAGTAAGCCGGAATGCCGTCCCTGACATAAAACTCATCGCTGATCCCTATAGCTCTGGCATTGGCCGCTCAGTAGCAGTCCTCTTCGCCCGCGAAGGTGCAGACGTAACAATCGTCTACCTCCCAGAAGAACAAGAAGACGCCGAGGAGACCAAGCGCATGGTCGAGAAAGAAGGTCACAAGTGTCTTCTCTTCCCAGGAAATCTCATGGACAACAACACCTGTAAGGACGCAGTCCAGAAACACGTTGATGAGTATGGCAAGATCGATGTCCTGGTGAACAACGCTGGGAAGCAGTTCATGTGTGAGGACTTCAAGGATATTGATCTGGATGACGTGGAGAGTACTTTCCGGAGTAATATTCTTCAGATCTTTGCGATGACGAAGTATGCGCTTCATCACATGGAAAAGGGCGGCTCGTAAGTCTACACCTCATTGTGTGAGCTTGGCTAATAAGATAGTATCATCAACTCAACATCTACCGTTGCGTTCAGAGGAACAGCGCATATGGTAGATTATGCATCCACAAAAGGCGCCATCACTTCCTTTACTCAATCGCTGTCAAAGCAGCTCGTCAAGAAGGGCATCAGAGTCAACGCTGTGGCCCCAGGACCTGTACACACTCCTCTCCAGCCTGCTTCTCGACCGGCGGAGCAGATGGAGGGATTTGGCAAGAATTCGCAGCTGGGAAGAGTCGGGCAGCCAAGTGAGATTGCGCCGAGTTATGTGTTTTTGGCTTCCAAGGATGCGACGTTGTTTCACGGACAGGTCCTTCATGCTTATCCGCTTGGCGACTAGAGGCTGTAGGGTGTTTGTATAGCTGAGTAATTGAACTAATTAATATGCATGTTTGGGAATGTGACTGAGACTGTTCGTGGCAGAATAAGTGGAAATGCTCGCGGTATTGTGATGTGTCGTGCTGCAAGAAGCTTCAGCCGCAACCAATATATCAGCCTCCATCATCATTGATATGCCGGGCTGAAAGTGCGGTGAACGAAAGACCATTCCAATATGCAAATCTTATGTCATTGCAGACCATGCTTCGACATTCGCAACAATCACAGAATGTAATAAAAGCCATGGACGTCTCGATACCTGCATGTTTCAACAAAACTGGCATCCCCCTCAATCCCTAGCCCCAGCAGTCAAATGCACTCAGGACATCACCAACACCAAGATAAGACACAATAGCCGTATTAGTCGTTAGTCGCCAATAGTCTCAATCCAGCCAGCCACAGTTGGACAGTGCCCAATTATTCCGAGAGCTGAATCCGTTTGGTTCGTATTGGTGCCGCTAGGAACGGCTACGGCCCGTGAGATCTGGCGTTCTAGGCTTGAATAGAACGCACTGGTAAGAAGACGCGCAGTCATCTGCGGGGAACGTTCGTCACGGTATGTGATGAAAGTCTCAATTGGGGCGAGGTTTGCCATAATGCAGTCGATTTATCGTTTCTTATCACATTGCTTGGCTCAGCTAGCCACTTTATTGATGTTGTAATGGAGCTTTCCGGATGGGAACCTCCATGGCCAGACTAGCTAGCAATAGGTTCTGCATAAGTAGAACGCATGTCCCCAGCAAACAAGACTGTCTCTCTCAAACGAAACAGTCTAGTATCTGTGATTGTTAGTTTGCTTTCATCATGTCTCTCCCAGCTGAAGAACATCACCTCCATACCCGTGCCTTCAAGCACATGTGGGCACGACACGTCGCCCAGAAAGGCTTCGAACACGATGTCCAAGCCGCCACCAAGCGCGTAATCCAAGCTCAACAAGAGCATCCCGAGCTTTTCCCAAAGAAAGTTCATGAGGATGAAGGTGTCAGTAAGATTCTTGACAAGACCCAGAAGCTCACGGGCCTGGGCTTCGTCCCCAGAGAGCCCAACCATCTTGAGATTGGCATCATCGGCGCTGGTGTCGCTGGACTTTTCACTGCCATGGTATTCGACTGGCTGAATGAGCAGTGCGAGAAGGAGGGATTGAAGATTGAGTACGACATCATTGAAGCGGCGAAGATGAATAGGCTGGGAGGAAGGCTGTATACCCATCATTTTTCGCATGGCGAGCATGATTACTATGATGTTGGAGCTATGCGCTTCCCTAACAACACCATCATGAAGAGGCAAGTCTCCCAATGTATCATTGGCGTCGCAATCGCTCACATCGTGCAGAACCTTCCAGCTGTTCAATTACATCGGCCTCAAGCCAGGAAAAGGCGGATTGATCCCGTACTACATCGGAGATTTGGACAATGTCTGCCCAACATACTTCAATGACGTTTCCGGCGTCGGAAATGTCTGGACGGCTGAAGCGAATGACCCATTCAAGATCAACGAGGGTCTTCCTGATAAAGCCAAGATCCCCGTTCAGTACGTCTATTCCCTCCATCCCCTGCAGGTCGCTAACAATAACATAGCCTACTCCAAGCGAACCCTTCAGACCTAGTCAGTGAGGCTCTAGAAGACTTCATCAAGGTGGCTGCAGAAAAGTTCAAGAAAGCTGTTGATGAGAATGATGAAAAGGGACCGGAGACGACCAAGCTTTGGGCCCCTCTGATGGAGGCTGATAAGCTAAGCACCCGCCAGTTCCTCTCGTCGTGAGTACCCAGTGCACCGTGGAGATTTGTAGTAGACTGACGTGGTGGTAGGGGAGATGGTGACAGGAAGAAGAGGGAGGGCAAACCCAAGGACAATTCTGGTCCCATTCCCGAGGGGCCAGGATACAACTACAACACCATTGAGTGGCTCGAGTCTGCCACATAGTGAGTAGCCCGCAAGGCTCCCTTGCATCTGTACTGACACTACTCAGTGGCACTGGCTGGTACGACCAATCCCTCACAGAATGCGTCCTTGAAGAACTCGACTTTGCAACTCCCAAACCAATCGACGGCCAGCAGACCAACTACTGGTGGTGTATTGATGGAGGCGCCCAAACCATCGCGCACCGTATGGCAAAAATGATCAAACAGCCCGTCCAATACAACAGCCAAGTTGTCGCCATAGATGCGCAAGTCGAAGAGCGCAAGAAGCGCAAGCCCAAGGACTTCACGTCGATGAAACTACGCATTAACAAGAATCAGGTCGTCAAGGAAAAGGAGTACTTTGCCGTGTTCAATAGTACGACCCTAGGTGCTCTTCAGAGGATGGATCTGAAGGATGCGGGTCTACTCTGGGGCACCAAGCAGGCCATTCGGGCTTTGGGATATGGTGCTTCGTGCAAGGTGGGCATCAAGTTTGAGACTGCGTGGTGGCAGAAGCCTCCGTTCAACATCAAGAAAGGTGGTATTGCGCATACTGATCTTCCTCTTCGGGTTTGCGTGTATCCATCTTACAACATTGAGTCCAATGAAGGCCAGGATTGGGACCCTAACAAGCCTGCTGTTCTTCTGTGCTCGTACACCTGGGGCCAGGATGCGCAGCGCATTGGATCTCTGATCTCACCCGAGACGCCCAAGAATGAAGAGCAGCTCCTCTCTGTTATTCTCCATGATCTTGCGCTGTTGCACTCAAAGCAGAGCGACTACACATACGACCAGCTTCTCGCTCTTCTAAAAGATCAGTACCAGGATCATCATGCGTACGACTGGTACAGAGACGAGAACATGTCGGGTGCCTTTGCATACTTTGGACCAAGTCAATTCTCCAACATGTGGTCCGAGATCATCAAGCCCAACGCCTACGGTCAACTGTATCTTATCGGCGAAGCTTCCTCTTCCCACCACGCATGGATTGTCGGCGCCCTCGAGAGTGTCATCCGCGCAGTATATCTGATGTTTGAAGGTCTCCAAAAGCAAGAACCCAACAACGCGGCTTATAAGAAAGCGATTGAGCTCCTGAGTAAAGAACCCAACACTCCCAAAGAAGGTGGCGATGTCTTTGGTGGATTCCCAGGAGACAAGCCCCAAGAGCCGCAGAAGTTGCCATCTGGTCTTCCGTTCCATCCTCTGCCGGAGGAAATGCCCAAGAGACAGTTGGATGCCGATCGTGATGCGAAGTTGGTGAGGGATCCATTGGAGGATGTCAAGTATGGTGATGAGGTTTCGCTTCTGTTCTCGAGTGCTATGATAACGTTGAGTTTGATTGAGAGTTTCTTCGAGTTGCAGGTTGACGAGGCCAAGGACAAGCCCCAGTGAGCATGTGGCATCGAGAGGTAATGGGAATCGACAGGGTCTTTGTGCACCAAATTGAGCAATAGAATGGGCTCAAATTGGTGAAGCTAGCTCGGATTCTTCGATCCCCCCATGAGACTTATCACCATAAATCGTCGTCATCGTCACTCCAGTCCGCGCCATCGTCGTCATCAACCCATTCGTCATCGTCTTCTTCCACCTGGCCCTCCTCAAACATCATTGGCGGAGTCACAGGCTGGCTCTTGGCCTCAACTTCACTCCACAGCGTATCCCTCAAAGCGTGATCCCTAATCCAATCCTGGCATGAGGCAATAGGACCCCTTCTCCTTGATCTTCTATCATATCTTTTATGCGTAGCCATAGTCGAAACAGTGATTTTGTTGCCGGGGTCAACTTCTTGCCAGTGAGGTATCATGCTGCTGAAGTCATATAGGTAGGGCGGCCAGTCACAGAAAGCCATTGAGATTTTGGGCCCTTTATACGCTGGACCGTCATCTTTCGTGTCCTGGGGATTGAATTTGGCCCATGCTCTTGCCCATTCTCCTTTTACATCATCGGCGAGATCAGGTCGTACGAAAACAACGGACTCTAATTGTGGACACGAGGCCATATCCTCGAAGAATGTATCCGCAACCCCGACGTTGTACAGACATAAACGTCGCAGTTTCGGCCATTTCCCAAAGACATGAGGTTGTATAATGTCAGCCTCCGTGTCAACGTATAATTCGTCTTTAACGCTGACAAGTTCTTCGATGTTAACCAGAGCCTCGAATCCCTGTCTAAGGGGCTCCAAGATGTCTTTGTTTTGTGTAGGACCTAAGTCTCTCAAGGGCATATCCACGATGATGGCCTTGAGGACTGGTGCAAGAGTGATGAGAACATCTTTGAGAAGGTGAATCGTTCGAGGATCCTGCATTGGCGCGTCTCTCCAATTGTGCGTTGAGTATTCAGAATATCCATCATCCACAGGGGATCTTGAACGAGGTGCGCGACGGCTGCCAGTTTGTGATCCCTCATCGGTCCATTCGGCCTGGTCACTTGCCATGTCACTGTCTGAGCCGTCACTCAGACGACCAGGCTTCTTCTTACCACGATGAACAGTCGGAGCAACATCCTCATAGGTGGAAGCAGTGTCAAACTTGTAATGCAATGGGTTGAGATACAGTCTCGCTGAGCCATAGGCTTCACATGGTGACCGCCCGGTGATTGGGCTCTTCTGCGAGATGTATCGTCTGAACCTGCGTAGTTTTGACTTTCTATCAATGTAGAGACAGTTTTGCCAGATGAGTTTGCTAGCAGTGGGATGTACCGCTTTGCACACCCTCGTCAAAGACACGAGCGTTTTCGTAATGGGGTGTGATGCGGGGAGGATTGGTCGTACAGCATCATCCTGAGAGACCAGATTCTCAACTATCAACAAAATGATCTCGATTGGGAGCCTGGTACTACCAGCCGCAATTGTGTGTTCAGTTTCCATGTTGGATATTTGTCGAGATGACAAAATAGGAATGCTTTCAGTTGATGCGGTCTGCTGTTGCCTTGCGCGTGGAGGTTATTCTACTAAGCGACAAGCGGCTCGCTTAAGATGCCCCGATACGTAAATGTGCCTCAACAAACCGATTCTCACTGATGCCAATCATACACTGCTTAGAATTAACTGGATAGTTATGGCTTTTGCTTCTTTTGCTACCACAGACTCAAGTTTGCGCAAAGTAACCGTCGCATATCGTCACAAGTGTTGATATAGGGATGATATCTCGCTAAGACATCATAAGCTTCACCAGAAGTAGGGACACCCGGTCTGTTTGCCATTCGAAATGAGGTGCTGCAAGCATTTTCGGATTCTCAGGGAAGCACTGCTTTCTTCATTGCTTGTTTTGAAAAACTTCAAACACAGCCATCTCTTATGTTACGTTTGTATGCTGCCTTGCATGCTGGTGCCTGTTTGAACAAGTAGAGAACCTTCGAGAGCTCATCATTGGCTATATAATCCCCCCCTTCTTCCCATCGGTTAAGAGAAGTCAAGCCATTTCTTGAATCTCATACTCAAGACTAAAAAAAGCTTAACCCGAGAATATCCAACGAAATGGCGGACCCTTCAACTTACACTGTTGGGTGGATCTGCGCCCTGACAAAAGAGCTAGTTGCCGCAAAAAGCTTTTTCGATGAAGAACACGCAGTGACTCTAGACGTTCAAGATCCCGCAGACAACAACAGCTATTCCTTCGGGAGAATGGGAAAGCATGACGTTGTCGTGGCATCCTTACCCATGTCCGTGTATGGAACAGTATCAGCTGCGACTGTAGCCAGAGACATGTTACGAACATTTCCCAATATTCGCGTCGGGCTTATGGTTGGTATCGGCGGCGGTGCTCCAAGCCCTCAGCATGACATTCGTCTTGGGGATGTCGTAGTTAGCGCCCCTTCAGGAACCAGAGGAGGAGTCCTTAATTACAGCCACGGCAAGGCAGTACAACAGCAAGAGTTCCAGTTAACCGGGTCGTTAAATCAGCCACCTCAACTTCTATCGACCGCAGTGGGCGCACTAGGAGCGGATTATAAAATGAAAGGCCATGAACTGGAGGAAAGAATCCAGGAAGTACTAAGTAAACTACCTCGCCTTAAGAAAGAGTATGCTCGTCCCGTTGCAGCGGAAGACAGACTCTACGAAATAAGTCACATTCATCGAAAATCCCAAGAATCCGCAGCATGCAAAGATAACTGCGGCGAAGAAAACCTTGTCAGCCGAGAGGCCCGAGGCGACGATGAAGATAACCCAATGATCCATTACGGTCTCATTGCCAGCGCTGACATCCTCGATAAGGATGCGACTATCCGGGATAAGTTAGCAAGGGAACAGGGTGTATTGTGTTTTGAAATGGAAGCAGCTGGTTTGATGAACCACTTCCCCTGTCTGATTGTACGTGGGATTTGCGACTATTCCGACACACACAAGAACGACGAATGGCAGTGTTTTGCGGCCATGACAGCTGCAGCGTATGCGAAGGAGTTGCTTCAGAGGATTCCACCAACCAAGATACGAGAGGAGGAGCCTCTTGCCAAAGTACTTGGCAGAAGTGAGTAAGGGCTCGAGATTAGAGGACATGAAGTCACTAAATACTTTTGTAGTCGGAATGAAATTGGAAAATATTACTACAAGTGTGAAAGACACGAATGCTACCGTAAACACTATGCATGCAGACAGTCAACGCCAGAAAATAGAACGCTGGCTTAAGCCACCAAGACCATCAACCAACGTAGCGAAGGCCAAGAAGCGTCGTCATGATGGCACTGGTCTGTGGTTCATCCAAAGTCCGGAATTCACAGAGTTTAAGGCAGGCTCAAGAAAGCATTTATGGCTTCATGGGTTGGCTGGCTGCGGGAAAACTGTACTAAGCTCTCAAATCCTCGACGATCTCAGTGCTATGGATGGCATCATCACACTAGTACATTACTTCGACTTCAACGACGTAGGGAAGCAATCTCTCGACGGCCTCCTTCGCTCTCTAGCATTCCAGCTCTATCAAAATGGTGGGCAAGAGGCATCAGCGAAGCTCTATGAGTTATTCAAATCCTGTGAAGATGGCTCAAAGGACCCCGGCGAGCCGCAACTGGAATCATGCATTAAGTCTATGCTACGTGCTGTTGATCGCGTGTTTATCCTCATCGACGCTTTGGATGAATGCAAATCAAGAGACTCGCTCCTCTCATGGATAGGGCGACTCACCGTCGAGAATGTACAATTTCTTCTGACGGCTAGGCCTGAAGTTGATATTCAACCTCAGATTTTTCGGTTCTTTGCGGAAGAGAATTGTCTTAGTTTGGACAAAACCGCTGTCGACGGCGACATAAAGTCCTATGTTCTTTCGGTTCTCGACACAAACCCAAGATTCACGGAGAAAGCTTTGAGTGAAGCGTTACGGAAGGATATCTGTAGCAAAGTTGGAGAGGGAGCAGACGGAATGTACGTTGCCTAGGAATCAAAGAAAGAGTGGGTGTAGATATGCTGACCATGTATTTAGGTTTCGTTGGGCAGCTTGTCAGATGGATACTCTTGAAGCATGTCTAACTCCAAATGCTATCCGTGAAGCTCTCGTGTCCTTACCACGCGATCTACCCAAGACGTACGATCGTATGATGGAAAGCATACCCTCTCAGTACAAGAGTGACTCTATCCGCCTACTACAGTTTATAGTGAATTGTGAGCAACCTCTTTCCTCAGCCGAGGCTGTCGAGATTTTGGCCACACGCCCAGATCGGCATCAAGGCCAACTCAGGTTTGACCCTGAAAATAGACTTTTCAACTCCTCTGACGTTGAAAGGTACTGTCCCGGTATGATACACATCGTAACGGTCACAGACGAAGACCCTGATGAAAGGGGTGACATGTGCCGTTGGGAAGAAGTGCACCTTACACACTTTTCCGTCAAGGAGTATCTGACAAACATTGGTACCTTCTGCGAACTGGATTCCGCGGTTGTTATTACTGAGACATTGATTAATTACTTGTATGATGTCAAAGATCCGCCCTATCGTGTTCGTGCCGACTTTCCCTTAGCCATACGTGCGGAAGACATCTGGTATGAATTTGCAAGGAGAGCGCAGACTGTCAAGAAAATTGTTCAAATGACAGCCAAGCTTTTACTCAGTACGGCGAATGTTCGGAAACATTATCGTATCTTCAAACAGCCATCAGACGACTGGTATTGTTCCTCTGGGCGACGAGGTAAAAGACTGTACTGGAGATCAGGGTTTAGTGAAAGAGCCGAAAGCGGGTTTTTTAACGCCTGCCTAGGTGGGCTCCATAACACTGTCGCCTATATGATGGAAGATACCAAGCTCAACGTTCCAGCCGATGAAAAAGAAGCTTGTCTGATTTTCGCGATTTTCTATAGGTTTCCAGAAGTTGCTGAGGTACTCCTTAAGTATGGCATTAGCCCTGATGCATCAGAAGCTCTCGGTGGCAGTGCTGTCTACAAGGCGGCAAAAAGGGGCTTCGCCCAGCTTGTACGAGAGCTAGTCAAAGCCGGAGCTGATTTAAGCGGGGATACCTTAGACTGGTACGGCGATCCCACGTCTGCTCTTTGTGCGGCATCTGAAAATGGCCACTTGGAGATCGTAGAAGATCTACTCAAGGCAGGGCATCATGTCAGAATACAGGATTCTCTTCAGCGTGCTGTCGGGAATGGCCATCACGCAATAGTCGAGCTCCTTGTCGACTGGGGGGCCTGTGAGGCTGAGCCTATCCACGACCATGTATTGGAAATGGCAGCCTTTCGCGGTACAAACCAACTCGTATGCCGGTTATTGGATGCTAGGCCGGATGGATACGACAAAAACAAACTCAAAAATGCCCTCTCCAGGGCATGTGAGGCTGGACGTATTGACATTGTCCGGCTCCTCGTTTCTCGAGGTGCACAGGCAGACCGCTCCATCAATTTCCGGTACGAGGATTCCAAGTACGACCACCGGAAAATTAGCAGCAAGATGCACAATGGAAAAGGTCACAATTGCCTTGTTCTTGCAGCACAGGCAGGAAATGAGGATATTGTGAAGATACTACTCGACAAAGAGTTTGACCTCAGTCAGGTGTTGGATCTCAGTAAGGAGCTTGAAGTCACCACGTTCATATTTGTTGGGGAAGCATTTGTTATGGCATTGTTAGGCTGCCATCAGAGAGTGATAATAACTCTTCTTGATGCCATGGTAAATCATGCCTATAACGATGAGATTGCCACACTCAGAGCCGCATCAGAAGATCAGAATCAACATACCATGAGGGGTTTTTCAGATTCAATGAAACATGACATGAGGAAAATGAAAAGATTTCCTGATTTCTCCTGGGTAGTTGAGGAGCTGTAAGAACTCTTGCTCGGGCCTCATAAGCATATTTATCAGACTTTGTTGAAGGAGGCTGGACTAGATTATTTGATTCGTGATGGCTATTCGAACCAGCCAATGTTAGCTCTCGAGGTCGCAGCTTCAGTTGGAAGCGTAGTGACCATTGAGAAGTTCATTCAGGCAGGTGTCGACTTGAGTATCGGTGAGCCCCTCTATCATGCTGTAGTGAACGGCCATGAGCAAGTCGTTCGGTTACTCTTAGACCAGGGGGCCGATGTGAATTCGATGATTACGGAGCATGACGGACATCCAGTGGATCCTTTATTGTTTCAAGCTTGCTCGCTGTCAGTCACAAGCGACTCTATCGCACACACGCTTCTGGATCATGGAGCAGACTACGACTACCGTGTTCGTTCGGGCGACACTGCTTTTCACGTAGCTGCTAAGAACGGAAGAGTTAGCGTTGTGGAAAGGTTGCTACATCTCGGAGACGGCGACAAGAAGAACAGTTCCGGTCATACCCCTTTACAGGTTGCATCAAATACAGATATCATCCGAGTCCTTCTAGTTGCGGGGTCCGATGCAAATGCGAGGGATGACAATGGTTGGACACCACTCCATAATGCAGCGTATCAGGGCAATCCAGATGGGATAGAGGTATTACTACGATATGGAGCTAATGCCCATGCCCTGACAAAGGACGGAAGAACTGCTCTACATGTAGCTCTGGAGTCGTGGACTACTTCTGATCGGAATATGCTGCGAATTGTCAAGCTTCTGCTCGATACTGGTGTCGGTACAAACATCAAAGATTCTAAGGGCTCAACCCCTCTACACAGTGCTTGTTTGTCTTATGGCGTCAGCGTTGTAGGGCTATTGCTCGCAAAGGAAGCTGATGTCAATGCCGTTGACAACGAAGGAATGTCGCCTTTTCGAATGGCAACTCGAAGAGAGATTTGCGAGGCAACTATTGATATCATTTCTCTGCTGATAAACCAAGGAGCTAATGTCAACTCCCAAGATAACGATGGTTCCACAGCTTTACACTGTGTTGAAAGTTCAGTGAACCTGGCTGATTTGCTCCTAGACCATGGAATCATCATAGATACACGAGATGGTAAAGGAAAGACAGCACTCTTTAGGTCTTTTGAACTTGGGAATCGGGACGTAGCAAGGTTTTTGATAGAAAAGGGAGCTGATGTGGAGCAAGCCACAATTTGGAAACAATGCTTCACGTGATGAATAACGATACCTTGAGTTTGTGCCCGGTCTTGCTAGAGCACGGAGCTGATGTCAATGCATTGACGATAGAAGGCTGGTCACCACTTGCCTTGGCATTGCACAGATATAGTGAAATGCGAGAAAATGCCCGAGTACTAAGACAATTTGGTACCTGTTTTGGGAGACGGGGGCTCTTAGAATGGCGAGAAAAAAAACAAGCAATCAAGGTTTTGATCGAAAAGGGGGCAATGAATATCAAAAACTGGCAAGACGAGAAATACAGTCTAGAAGAGTAGAGAGAGCTGGTTAATACTTCAGGAAATACATCTTGGAACCAGAGTGTTTATCGTTGATTTCTGCTTTTGAAGTGACTTTGGTAGATAGGGCATTCGTCAAAATGCACTATGAGCATTACCTTGACAAGATACTCAGCGTATATAAGTGTCAGAAGCAACTGCCATAACCAGGAATCACAAGAAGCTACCACTTCGTATTTCCATCTTAGTCGCCAAGCCTTTAAAAGTGAAACTTGGGATCCATAGGTGCTCAGTGGGAATTGGACACTCCTAAGATCTGGATGGCAGGTAGATCACAGCACTAGCACTCTGCAATGAAACATGGCCACTGGAAAGTCACCCGTTGTGCCGGTAAACATCAGCGTCCTCAACTGCTCTGATATGCGTTGAACTACAGGGTACAGCCAGATCTTCTCCCATCTGGTGCACATTCCCGTAAGTTTGCATCCACAAAGTCAATTCGCCTCACAAGGCTGGGTTACGCTACATATTGCCTCAACGAACCGGTAGATCATTCCTCAAAGCGCATTGATCCATCTTCCAACGCACTGCAACACTGCATCGTGCAAGAATCCTCATCTCTTAAAGAGTGCAGATCGTCATCGTAACCAGCCACACTCGGATAAACACTACTAATTCGGAAATAAACTAGCTTGTGGCACAACTCAATTGATGACAAGGTTTCTTATCTCGCTGACCCGCAAAAGAACCGGTGAGTCCAAGACTTATCCAAACAGGCTTTTTTGCAAGCTTTTACAAAAGTCCGCCGAGGGTCGAGAAAGAGGGGGAATGCTTGGACGGAGCCTAGAAAAGATCACCATGTCATTTCGCGGTGGCTGATAAACACCCATCTCTCTATCTCAGATCCCTGTCGATACGACGAATAAGCGTAGAAAGATGCTTAATGCCCAGCGCCAACTCTATCACAGCGCTAGTCAATCACTCTATCTCTCGTGCCAAGCGGTCGATAATCCCTGCGACCTGCCGTTATCAACATAGGTCGGATTGGCGAATACTCCAAAAGTTCCAGGCGACGTGGGATCTGAGTCGGCGCTAGTTCCTGGAAGAGGCAGTTCCTGCGGGGAAGCAAACACGACGCCAAGAGTCGATCGCCAGAGACATCCCTGGAACTGCCTGTTTTGGTTCCCGCCGCCGTGAGAGGGTCCTTGGTTCGTGGGACATTTTCCGTGGCTATGCAGAAGTGCCGTGCAGGACGTTGTACTATCACGAAATAGCCTGGGGTTGTGACGAGTAGATTACAGCAAAACTTAATTCCGCACGATCAGCAACATATAAATATCAACTATTTCCACCCTCAGAAACCCCTTCCTCACTCCTCATCCCTCTCTTTGCAGCTCAGTCCAGTCTAGTCCAGTCCAGCCCAAGATGAGATTCACCACCCTCTCCCTCCCCCTCTTCGCCCTGGCGGCCAGCGCCACCAAGAAGCCCCTCGTCAACGAGCTCAAGCTCCAGAAGGACATCAACATCAAGGACCTCATGGCCGGCGCCCAGAAGCTCCAGGACATCGCCACGGCCAACGGCAACACCCGTGTCTTTGGTGGCGCTGGCCACAACGCCACTGTCGACTGGCTCTACAAGACCCTCAAGGCGACTGGCTACTACAACGTCAAGAAGCAGCCCTTCACTGAGCTGTACTCTGCCGGTACTGCCTCTCTCAAGGTTGACGGTGATGATATCACTGCTGCCATCATGACTTATACTCCTGCTGGTGAGGCTAGTGGTCCTCTTGTCGTTGCTGAGAACCTTGGTTGTGAGGCTAGTGATTTCCCCGCTGAGTCTGAGGGTAACGTTGTTCTCGTTCTTCGAGGAGAGTGCCCCTTTGCTCAGAAGTCTTCCAACGGTAAGACTGCTGGAGCTGCTGCTGTCATTGTCTACAACAACGTTCCTGGTGAGTTGGCTGGTACTCTCGGTGAGCCCTTTGGCGAGTTCGCTCCCATTGTTGGTATCAGCCAGGAGGATGGTCAGGCTATCCTTGCCAAGACCAAGGCTGGTGAGGTCACTGTTGATCTCAAGGTTGACGCTACCGTTGAGAACCGTGTGACCTTCAACGTCATTGCTGAGACCAAGGAGGGTGACCACGACAACGTCCTCGTTGTTGGAGGCCACTCTGACTCCGTTGCTGCCGGCCCCGGTATCAAGTAAGTTCCCAACATGTCTTTGAAATTCGTCAATGCTAACAAATTCTAGTGATGACGGCTCTGGTATCATTGGTATCCTCAAGGTTGCCCAGGCTCTCACCAAGTACCGCGTCAAGAATGCCGTCCGCTTCGGTTTCTGGAGTGCCGAGGAGTTTGGTCTGCTCGGATCATATGCTTACATGAAGAGCATCAACGGTTCTGACGCTGAAGTCGCCAAGATCCGAGCCTACCTCAACTTCGATATGGTAAGACATCCAGCCACCCTAATAAGAACCAAATACTGACAAATACCAGATTGCCAGCCCTAACTACGTCTACGGTATTTACGACGGTGATGGAAGTGCCTTCAACCTCACCGGCCCCGCTGGCTCCGACGCCATCGAGAAGGACTTTGAGCGCTTCTTCAAGACCAAGCGTCTCGGCTACGTCCCCTCCGAGTTCAGTGGCCGCTCTGACTACGCCGCCTTCATCGAGAACGGCATTCCCTCTGGCGGTCTCTTCACCGGCGCCGAGCAGCTCAAGACCGAGGAAGAGGCCAAGATGTTTGGCGGCGAGGCTGGTGTCGCTTACGATATCAACTACCACAAGATCGGCGACGACATCAACAACCTCAACAAGGAGGCTTTCCTCGTCAATACCCAGGCCATCGCTAACTCTGTTGCTCGCTATGCCAAGACCTGGAAGAGCCTGCCCAAGGTTACCCACAACACTCGACGATGGGATGCTGAGGTCGCTTCTGTTCTGAAGCGATCTAGCGGACACAGCCATGCTGGGGGTCCTTGTGGATCTGTTTCCGTTTAGGATGTATAACTTGTAAAAGTCTGTATTATGAGAGATGAGCGAGTTTATGTAGAGTAGATAAAATGAGAAGACGAATTATGAGCTGAAGTTGGTCATGATAAAAGTGTGAAATCACCTCTCGAACTGAATTTCTTTTGTATGCTAATGATGCCGGAATTCAAGGTTGTATTGAATAGGCACATCACGAGGCTCGCCAATGGCCCAATATTGAAGCGGAGTTTGCTTACGTTTACATCATCAAATCTCACTCCTGCAACCACCAACTTCTCAGATGGAGCAAAACTTCTTTTTCGTAGACGGCTTAAATGCTGACAAAACTTCGAAAAAGCTCATGCGACGACATGTAATGAAGGGCAAAAATGCAGGCAAAACAGGCTAATACAGAAAGCGAATATCGACCTGTTCTCTTTCCTTCCTTAGTTACTATTCTAAGTAGTTACTGCTTTAACCTAAGCTGAGCCTAAGCTATAGGTAAGCCAGTATAATAGGTGGGGTTTCTATCTTACATTTTAGACCCTAGTAAAGGATAAAAATAGACTATCTCTATAAAATAGTACCTAATTATATAGGCCTGCTTATATTTACCTATTTATTATTAGATTTTTACTTATATAAAAAAAAAAAAAGTAGCTAATTAATCTTTAAATAAAAAAACTATTTACTTTATACTTATAAATAAAAGAAAATATACTTTATAACTAAGTATTAACTATTTATATTT